CATTTGTCTCACTATAAGACAGGAAGTTGTTGTTGGTCCTTCATACAGTATTTGGTCAGTTCTGAGTATTATATTTATGACCATGGTCGACTACTGAACACATGTTTATCTGCAGATTTTTCAACAATCAGCATGTAAGGATGGACTGACTAGGAATGGGGACCACCCTCGTTTGTGTAACCAATGACCCTCTTTTAGCAGCAGAGAAGAAGGCTCAATTTCAATTCTTTTAGATCTCAGTGCAGTTTTTGATACAGTTGATCATCCAGCCATGCATCCATCTTAAACCACTTATCCAGGGTCAGGTCGTGGGGGCAGCAACCTGAGCAGAGAAGCCCAGACTTCCCTCTACCCAGCCACTTCATCCAGTTCTTCTGGGGGGACCCCGAAGCATTCCCAGGCCAGCTGAGAGACGTAGTCTTTCCAGCGTGTCCTGGGTCCCCTGAGTATCTCACCAGCAAGGTGTATGGGAGGTATCCTGATTGGCCTGGTGGCCCAAGCCACCTCATCTGACTCCTCTCAATGTGGAGGAGCAGTGGCTCTACTCTGAGCCTCTCCTGAATGACCAAGCTTGTCACCCTATCTCTAAGGGAGAGCCCAGCCACCCTGCGGAGGAAACTCATTTCGGCCGCTTGTACTCGCGGTTTTGTTCTTTCGGTCACTGTCCTCAGCTCGTGACCATAGATGGGGGTAGGAACATAGATCGACCACTATATCGAGAGCATTGCCTTTCGGCTCAGCTCCCTCTTTACCATGACAGACCTGTGCAGCATCCGCATCACTGCTGACGTAGCACCGATCTGCCTGTCTCCCGCTCACTATCGTGAACAAGACCCCGAGATACTTGAATTCCTCCACTTGAGGCAGGATCTCATCTTTGACCTGGAGAAGGCACTTCACCTTTTTCCAGCTGAGAACCATGGACTCAGAATTGGACTCAGATTTGGAGGTGATTCTCATCCCAGCCGCTTCACACTCAGCTGCAAACCGATCCATTGAGAGCTGAAGGCATAGATTGTATATAGAATGGACACTGTCTGCCTCCTCACTGGGTAAAGCCACTCCAAGAACAGCACCCTCTGGAGACAGGCTGTGCTAGACTTAGACTTAGACTAAACTTAATTCATCCCTTGGGATGACTCCCGCAGGAAATTCAGGTTACCAGCACCTTTTACAAGTAAAAAGGTAAAAAAAGGTGCAAAGTGCAACATGCAAACGTAGTCACAACATAAAATAAGATAAAATACAAAAAATAAAATAAAATACAAGTTACACAATCTACATAATCTCTATAGACTCTTTTGTATTGAAAAAGGTACATAGTCCGCATAGAGATGGGAAAAAAGAAATACACTCCTAATAAAATATAGAAGTGGCATATGATGGTGTGTGTGTGTGTCTGCGTGCGTGCATGCATGCGTGTGTGTGTGCGTGTGCGAGTGTGCATGCGTGATGGGTGGATGGTTGCAGCATGTGAGCTGGGTGGGTGGTGTCTGCCGCCTCTTCCCTACTGTCTTCAGTCACCTCCTACCCCCCAGTGAGGAGTTGTACAGGCTGATGGCCTGGGGGACAAGGGAGTTCCTGAGTCTGCTGGTCCGACACTTGGGAAGGAGCAGTCTCTCACTGAACAGACTCCTCTGGCTGCTGATGACAGAGTGTAGCAGATGACTGGCCTTGTCCATAATCTCCAACAGTTTGTTAAGTGTCCGCATCTCTGTCACCATCACCAGAGAGTCCAGCTTCATGCTGACCACAGAGCCGGCCCTCCTGATCAGTTTGTCCAGTCTGGATGCATCCTTCTTGGATGTGCTGCCTCCCCAGCACACCACGGTTTTAAAAAAGGACACTGGCAACCACAGACTGGTAGAACATCCGCAGCAGTTTGCTGCAGATGTTAAAGGACCAGAGTCTCCTCAGGAAGTACAACCTGCTCTGGGTCTTCCGGTACAGGTGGCTGGTGTGTGCTGACCAGTCCAGTTTGTTATCCAGCCACAGCCCGAGGTATTTGTAGGAGTCGACAGACTCCACCTCAACTCCCTCAAGCATGACTGGTCTCGGCTTTGGTCTGGACCTCCCGAAGTCTATGACCAGCTCCTTTGTCTTTGAGGTGCTGAGCTCCAGGTGGTTAAGGTGACACCAGGAGGCAAAGTCCCCTACCAGACTCCGGTACTCCTCCTCTTGGTCATCCCTGATACAACGATGGCTGTGTCATTGGCGTACTTCTGTATATGACACAGCTCTGAATCATAGCAGAAGTCCGATGTATACAGGGTGAAGAGAAGAGGGGCCCGCACTGTGCCCTGGGGGGTTCCAGTGCTGCTGATCACAGTTTTGGATGTGGCATCCCTCATCCGGACATACTGTGGCCTGTCTGTTAGGTAGCTGGAGATCCAGGCCACCAGGTAGGGGTCCACTCCCATGCTGTTGAGTTTGTCCTGTAGCAAGGGGGGCTGGATTGTGTTGAAAGCACTGAAGAAGTCCAAAAAGAGGATCCTTACTGTGCCGCTTCCCTTATCCAGGTGGGAGTGGGTCCGGTGTAGCATGTAGAGGATGGCATCCTCCACCCCAACATCTGGCTGGTAGGCGAACTGCAGGTGGTCTTGGGCATGTTGCACCTGGGGTCTGAGGAAGGTGAGGAAGAGCCACTCCAGCGTCTTCATAAGGTGGGACGTGAGTGCCACCGGTCGGAAGTCATTCAGCTCGCTGGACCGGTTCTTCCTAGGCACCGGAACTATGCAGGATGTCTTCCAGAGGGTGGGCACTCTCCCTAGTTGTAGGCTAATGTTGAAGAGTGGTTGTTGTAGTGGTTCTCCCAGTTCTGTAGCACAGGTCCTCAGCAGTCTTGGACACACTTGTCTGGACCTGCTGCTTTCCCGTGTTTTAGCTTCCTCAGCTGACCTCTGACCTGTTCTACAGTTATGTGGGGCGGGGATTGTGTTGGGGGGAGGGGGGGGTGTTGTGGTGTCCAGGAAGGGGGAGTGAGGTATTGTTGTTTCTGGTGGGCAGCGTGTGGTGGTGGGGAGGAGGGGTAGCTGCTGTGGGAGGGAGGGTAGGTCATAAATCCCCCCTCCGCCAGCAAAGCTTATGGGGCTGTGGACAAGCTTTAGAAATTTACTACACAAAACAATTTTTTTCCCCTTCTTGCAATTTGACATGTAGTTATTATAAGACTGGTTTATGCTCAAGTCCTCTTTTTTTCTGTACAGCTCCATTTTTTTAAGCTATTAGGGGGTTCATGTTTTCTATGATTGACACCTGATACAGCCTATGGGCTAACAAAGATTGTGTGGCTTACCCGGGGATATGCCGTTTGAGCCCAGCGTCATCACAGTGACTCTCGGCGACTCTCCTGCTGAATGCACACAATGCTACTGCGCAATGTTGGTTTCAGGAAATGGAGAGAAAACAGAATTACTGAGAGCTTTTTGCAGCCCACCATACACATTGTTGACAGTGCACTGCTTCCCTCTCTTGAGACGCCGGATGGAGCACTCTCCAGCAACCCTTCCAGGGACTCCAAGAAGGGTGGATACTCTGAGCTGCTGTTTGGAGCATAGGCACAAACAACAGTCAGGACCCATCCCTCCACCTAAAGGCGAAGGGAGGCTACCCTCTCATCAGCTGGGTTAAACCCCAACGTACAGGCATAGAGCAAGGGAGCAATACGTATTGCAATCCCTGCCCAGTGCTTCTCACCAGTGGCAACAATAGTAGTACAGAGTCAAGCCCCTCTTGAGAGGGCTGGTTCCAGAGCCCACGCTATGTGTTGAGATGAGTCCTACTATATCTAGATGGAACTTCTCCACCTCGCACGCCAGCTCAGGCTCGTTCCTCGCCAGAGAGGTGACGTTCTGTCTCCCTAGAACTAGCCTCTGCAGCCCACAGGTCTGCGGAGTATTGGACTGCCAAAGTCTCCGCCTCCTGCTGCTGCCCAACTCACATTGCACCTGACCCCTTTGGCGGCTCCCATGGGTGGTGAGCCACCAATGTTCAGTTTCAAAAATTAAACAAATACTAACCCCACCAGGGGCCTCATTTATAAAACCTGGCGTAGGATCCATACTAAAAGTGTACTGAAGTCGAAAAGCTGAAAAGTGCGTAGGCACACCTGCAGGCACTTTCCCTTTATAAATCACAGACCAGCCGGAAAGTTGCACAGCAGGGATTTGATTCATGCCCCGCCCTCTCCACACTCAAAATTCACCATGTATGGTCATGCAAATTACCTCATGAATGTGATTTGCATATAAATAAGCCTGATGGATCCACGGCATTTCACGATTATTCATGGCAAGTCGTAGAAAAAGAAACTTTTCAGAGACCGAGGTGGAGGTCCTTGTAGATGAGGTGGCGGCGAGATGGGAGACCTTATTCGGCGGCCATTCGAGTGGCATCACTAATAAAAGAAAAGCCACCAAATGGCACGCCGTTGCCATGGCGGTAAGTGCAGCTGGCACTGAGCGCAGCGTTGCCAAAATTAAGAAGAAGTGGTCTGATCTAAAGATGGAGGCAAAGAAAAATGTGGCTTTGCACCGCCGGAGCGTAGCAGCGACAGGTGAGGATCAGAAAACGTGCATGTGTTCCAAAAAAACTGCTCTGTTATCCACCGCTGCTTATGTGGTGAAAGTTCGTAAACCAAAAAGACTTAGTCGAAATATTTAACGTGGAAACTATTTGTTACATTTCAAATTAAATGCTAAATTCTGAAATCAAAATGTTGAATGAGAAGTAACTTCTGAATCATCTCGCAAGGTTCCTTCTCTGTGATGTCGCCAGCACCTTGCAACTTTTGACTGAGCAGAAAGTCTACAAATTTTACACAGGTGGCAGCCAGATCACACAGGAACCAACACCACTTCACTGCAAAATTTCATCCGTTATTGGAAGTGCCAGTGTGTGTGGCATTGTGTCGGAGAGGGGGGGACACAGATTTTGCACAGACTGAGGAGAGTGGTAAGTTACAATTTTACCTGTTTATTGAATCAAATGTTTGTACAGACATGTGGCAAGAAATGATGTGCATTGTGTCCTCAGTCACTTTGCAGTTGGAAGCAGTGGGAGAGGAGGTGGAGGAAGAGGAGGTGCTTCCCAGCACGTCTGGCACACTGGCTGCAGGCCCGTCTGTCCCCAGCACACCCAGCGAATCCAGAGTGCGCAGAGGCGGCCAGGTTCTCACAGACACTGTCCTGCAGACACAGAGGGACACGATCGGAGCCATCCGAGAAGTGAGGGAGGAACTGGCACAAATACGCATAGTCTTGCAGAACATGTGTGACATCATGTCGGCGGCAACGGACGCAATAAAAGAGTTGTTGAAAAAGTGAAACGCACTTGCACTTGCCTTTTTACACACGCCGCATCACTTCCTCACGTAGCCTTGCTCCATGCTGATGTTCGTCATGCCGGGGAGGTGGCTGTGGGTCGGGGTCCACGTGTGGCGGGGCGGGGGGGAGGTCAGGTTGAGGGGGAAGGCGTTACTCACTGCCAAGTTGTGCAGCACCCAACATGCCCGTATGATTTTACACACCTTTCTGGGGTGGTAGAGTAGCCTGCCCCCCGAGGCATCTGAGGACCTCCACCTACTCTTCAATAAACCAATGGCGCGCTCCACAACAGAGCACGCACGGCCATGCACAATGTTAAAGCGCACTTCCTCTGCGCTCTGCGGGTTTGTAAATGGTGTGAGGGGCCACCACCTCAGTGGGTAGCCGCTGTCACCTGTGAGGTATAACCAGAGTAATTAACAAGCGGGATCCAATTGCGTTCCAAGAGTGCCACTCAGTAATGCTGTTCCAGTGGCAGCAACAGAATGGGTCAAATGAAGAGAAGAATTTCCCCGACAGAGCAAATAAAGTTGTGTGGTAATGCTATGGTGTTAGTGTAATACTTACCGAGGAGCCAGCCATCACGAGCAGCACCTGCCTGCCGTCTGTTCGCCAAAATGAATGAATCGTGTGTTGAGCCAGGCCACCGTGCTACTACATTTGTGAGCACCATTGAGGAGTCACAAATTATTTGAACATTTATGGTGTGCACACCTTTTCGGTTTACATAAACAAATTCGTTCTCGCTGGGGGCTCTTATAGCAATGTGGGTGCAGTCAATTACGCCGATTGCATTAGGGAAACCGGACATTGCTGCGAATTGCCTTTTGCTGTTGGCCTGTTCAACAGCAGTGTAGGGCAGTGGTCTCCATATGGCGGACCGCGGTCCACTTCCGGACCGGGAAAGAGTCCAATACGGACCCGAGCCTACCGCAGAAAAATGTATGTTTTTTTCTCTCTTGTAGGCCTGCACGATGTACGTGTGTGCGATAGTCACATCGCAGAGCCTGCGATGTCGGAGGTGAATGAACTCAGTTAATTTCAAGGGTAGCTGACTGAGATACACTCCATGTGACTCTGCATGTGGTGTGCAGCGATCCACCAATCACCTTTGTCCTTTACTCAGTTGCCAATCAGACTACCCTGCTAGCTGTCAATCAAAATCAGAGAGGAGGAAACCCACCCCTGCACATGTTCTGCACATGGAGTGAGACGCGTGTCCGCTGAGAATTACTTTCGGAACTTTACTGACTGTTAAGCCCAACAAAGAACTGTATGGGTTTTAAAATGTATATTTCCGTGGACCACTCTATTATAAGCGGTGCGCGTTTTGCGAGGTGCATGCAATTCTCGGAGGACATGCGTTTCTCGACACAACAACAACAACAACAACAACAACAACAACAACAACAACAACAACAACAACAACAACGATTGCAAAATGAGCAACGAACAAGAGAAAACCACCGAAAATTAAGATTTTTTGCCAAAATGAAAAGGAAAGTCAGTTATCTGGAATTATTTCGGTTAAAAGAAGGATGATGTCGACCAAAACACGTGTTCTGTGTTCATCTGTCGCCACAATAACGTCCCAGCACAATAAAAGCTAAAAATATCTCTGAGACAGACAGAAGCCATTCTAACATTCACAAAAAGAGGTCAGATCAGTGCAGGTTAACTGTCCTCAAGACTTCAGCAGTGCAGTATAACAGTAAATGCTATTCAGGTCATGTGGTGAAAATTCCTATATTTTTAATATCGCAATATATATCGTAGGGTTGAAAAAAATCGCAATGTAAGTTTTTTCCAATATCGTGCAGCCTTTCTCTCTTGCTTTGTGCCTGGTTCAGTAAACTGCATGTGCAATTTCAGCAAGGCATCACATCACTTGCTTACTCGCTTGACTTGTCAATCAAATCAGACCTCTTAGCCTACTCGACACACGAAGATTACCGAGATATCCTGATGTTGAAAACTGTCAGGCGGCAGACTGAGGAGAAAGTTGTAGCAGCAGCTGAACATGTCGGCTTAAAAAACACGAAAGGTAGAGAATGAGAACAGGGTGTTTTATGGCGAGTGGACCGAGTCATTTGCATTCATTTTACCCGCAGGAAGCACACAGCCAATTGAAAGTAGGCAGTTATTGGCAATACAAATGAAGTGAATCTTTCAAAAGAGTAATGCACTGTAAAAAAATAAATAAATAAAAATCCCTGGACCCAGGCCTGCAGGCATTTCATTCAGGTGGACCCACTGAAAATTTATATGAAGACCCCTGGTGTAGGGAAACCTGATGTAGCGACTGGTCATTTGGATGATCCCATCCAAAACAGCTGGCAGTGCGGCACTGAGGGATGGCTGCGAGATACCAGACCTGTTAGCACAGAATTTATAATTAATTTAAATTTAAATTACTAAATTACTAAAACGGCTTATTAGCCATTCATCATCATGAGCCAGGAAATCTTCCTGATCTTGGAATACCCTCTCCAGCCGGATCCGTCCATTGGCGTGGTCTGCATCCATTGTGCTGCATTGCGCACGACTGTCACTGTATGGCTTTTTATACGCACGCTTTCCATTAACCAATTGTCCTCACCTTGCTCCAATTGTCTCTAAAAAGTGCGTAAGCAACGTGTGGAGTTTGCTTAAAATTGCGCACATTCCTACGCTAGTTAAATAAATCCCAACTCTTGCTTAAGAAGTGGCCTATGCACTTCCAAGCCAGGTTTTGTGCATAAGCAAGCTTTATAAATGAGGCCCCAGATCTTGAAAAAATAATCCACACTTTTATTTTCTCAAGGCTATACTTTTGTAACTCTCTTCTCTCTGGTTTCAATAAGAATTTTCTCTGCCTCCAACTAATTCAGAGTGCAGCAGCTAGGCTTTTAACTGGTTTTAGTTGATGGCGTCACATCACCCCAATTTTGGCCTCCCTTTACTGGCTTCCTGTCAGTTTTAGAATTGATTTTAAGATACAGATACAGCAGAGACAGTTGCTTCTTTCAGTTAAAAACTCACTTTTACAGACTTGCTTTTATGTGATACTACTTCCTGAATTGCCCTACTTCCTCAGAGGTAGGGCAAATCAGTTGAATGAAGCCCAGCAGCAGGACATTCACCACAGTCCACAGGGTATCAGAACCTCAGATGAAGCTCAACCAAGCACTGATCCACCAATGCACATGAGGCCTGAGCCAGTCCTGCCACAGACAGCAGTAGAGAGGAAGATGAACGAGCAAAAGCCTAAAATATTGTGGCCTAAATCCTGCCAGAACGAGGAGTGGGGAACCACTGACACAGACCTTGTTCATCTCCTAAAAGGTCTGAAAGGGTGCGTGGAAAGAAAGCTGGACATGATCGGAAGAGTTATTTACAGCTATGGAGCAGAGAGACTAGGCCCAATGGCGTTTCATATAGGTTCTACAAGAACATGCTGGGTGTCTTGAAGTACCTCTGGAAGCTAATGAAAGCGGCATGGCAGAAAGGAATGATACCAAAGGCATGGCGAAGGGCAGGAGGGATCCTGATTCACAAGGGAAAAAATTCCTTAACTATCAACCAGTTCCACCCAAACAGCCTTCTGAATGTGGAAGGAAAGATATTCTTCAGTGTTTTGGCCCAGAGGCTCTCAGTATTCTTGAAGAACAACTTTGTTGGCATCTCAGCGCAAAAGGTAGGGATAAGCTGATTCTCAGGATGCCTGGAACACACAAATGTCATCTGGCACCAAGTACAGACAGCCATGAAGGAGAAGAAAGACCTGCATGTGGTGTTCTTAGGTCTTGCCAATGACTTTGGTTCAGTGCCTCATGAGATTTTGTGGACAGCATTCAACTTCTTTCAAGTCCCAGAGAGCATCACAAAGCTGGTCAAAGATTATCTCCACAACCTCCAGTTCTGCATAACAGCACAGGCCAGTACAACTGCCTGGCAACACCTTGAGTTGGGCATAATGGCAGGCTGCACAATATCTCCACTGGCTTTTACCATGGCAATGCAGCTCATCATTCTAGCATCCTGATGGGTTGCTGGAGGGGATTGATTGAAGAGTGTCTTCCTCCAATCAAGGTGTACATGGACAACATGATGACAATAACAACAACAAACGCATGCACCAAACGTCTGTTGGATAAAATCCAGGAAAACATCAAATGGTTGGGAATGGAGATTAAACCCAGCAAGTTCCGCAGCATCTCCATTGTCCAAGGCAAGCTTACCAATGAGAAAGTCCATGTCAACAACGAGCCAATACCAACAGTTCTGGAGAAGCCTATCAAAAGCCTTGGCTGCTGGTATAGCGCAGACCTCAAAGACTCGAAGCAGGTGGAACAAATCAGGCAGGATACCATCAGTGGCCTCAAGCAGATCAACAACACTGCTCTCCCTGGGAAGCTGAAGCTGTGATGCTTTCAGTTTGGGCTGTTACCTTGTCTCATGTGGCCAACTTCCATCTATGAGGTCACTCTATCCCATGCCATGCCACTCGGCTGGGATGGCATGGGATGTGGTATCTACAGTCTCACGATTCTGGTACGATGGCATTATAATTTCAGATCATGCTTCGGTTTCATTTATCCTGAACATGCCCTAATCTGTGAATTACTCCCCAAGATGGCGTCTACAGACATTTTGGCTTAAGGATCCAAAATTTTTGGAGTTTTTTGGAACACAAATTGATTATTATTTTGAAAATGATACAAACTAGACATCAGCTGCTATACAATGGGAAGCTTTTAAGGCCTTTTTGAGGGGTCAGATGATAAGTTTCACAAGCTTTAAACACAAGCAGCTTCGATTGGAGATGGAACAACTGGAAAAAAGGATAAAGGATACTGAAACAAACTATTTTGCAAATCCTTCTCAACACTTATTTGTGGAACTGAACAAGCTAAGAGCTAAATACAATGTTTTATCCACAAATAAGGCAACTAAAACTTGATAAAACTGAAGCAGTCCTATTACGAACAGGGTGAGAAAGCTAGGAAGCTCCTTGCTTGGCATATTAAACGGACGGAGACTGAGAGAGCAATAAAAGCAATACAAACAGATGAAGGCTTAGTAACTAGTGACCCTGAAGAAATTAATTAGATTTTTTCAGGTTTCTATGAAAATTTATACTGTTTGGACTATTCAACCTCAGCCTCCCAAAAACAGAAGGAATTTCTTGACTTATTAGACTTTGTCATCTTAAAGGAAGACTCTCAGGCTGCTCTAGAGCTGGACCAAGAGGCCAAAGATTTTTCTGCAGCTATAGGTAGCATGAAAGGGGGAAAATCCCCTGGACCAGACGGGATTCCCATCGAGATATATAAAACTAAACTAATACCACCTCTGCTCGAGATGTATTGTGAGTCTTTAGTTAGTGGATCCCTTCCTCCTTCTTTCAATACAGCAGTAATTACCTTATTGTTGAAACCAGGGAAAACACCTACTCTCCGGGGATCTTACAGACCAATTTCACAGTTTAATAATGATTTCAAAATTCTTTGTAAAGTATTGGCTAGACGGCTTGAACTGAGTATGCCAGAAATAATTCACTCTGACCAGAATGGCTTTGTGCAGGGAAGGCAGGCCTTTCACAGTATAAGTAGAGTACTTTATATGGTGTTTAATAAATCTGGCTGTACGGACACTGCCATTCTGTCATTAGATGCCGAGAACGCCTTCGACAGGGTGGAGTGGCCGCATTTATTTGAGACTCTGCAAAGGTTTGGTACAGGGGGGAAATTTCTTAGCTAGATTTGACTTCTTTATGCAGCTCCACAAGCTGAAGGTTTAACAAATGGGTTATTTTCAACACCTTTTGAAATGCACCCGGGGACAAGACAGAGTTGTCCCCTGTCGCCCCTGTTATTTACCCTTGCTATCGAGCCACTTGCTATGGCGATTTGAAAAAACACAGACCTGAAAGGAATTAAGATAGGAGATATTGAACATTGCATAGCTTTATATGCAGACTAACTTGAAGCAGACTCTACCTACTGTACTTTATCTCACAAACGCTTTCAGGGTATTTGCAGGTTTCAAAATAAACAGCACCAAATCAGCAATATTATTTATGAATGAAAATGAGAGACTCAACCCCCCAATTCAGACTCTTTTAACAGATGGAGTTACAGAGCTCATAAACAGGTGGACAAGATTAGTTATGTCTGTGATTTGGCGCATCATTGTTTTGAAAATGTCAATTTTACCTAAGTTTTTTATGTTTTCCAACCTATCCCACTTGCTACCCCACTTTTCTCCTTTCAGTCACTTGAAAAGCTCTTCTCCTCCTTTATCAGGAACAACAGGCATCCCAGTCTTAGGCTCACATTGTTGTATCTATCATATAATAGAGGTAGATTACAGCTACCAAATTTAATGTGGTATTACTGGGCAGCTCAAATCAGAGCAGGAATATTTTATTTTGTGAAGGACCATTCCCCAGCTTGGGTGTCAAAGAATCTCACTCAGTTGATATTCCCTTGAATTTGTATTTATATTCAGCAAATGAAAAACTAATCAAACAAACCAAAAAACCCTTCCTGAAAAATACAGTAATGATTTGGCTCAGTGCTTTGGGATACTTGGGAGAGACTTCCAAGCTCTCACAGTTTTCTCCTATCTTTGGTAATGATGAGTTTCAGCCTGGAAGAGTAGACAGCGGGTTTAAAATCTGGGTATCTCAAGAAGCTGACCTCTTAAAAGACTGTAATACTTTCATGCCTTTTGAAGAACTTCAGGCCACATATGGAATACCCTCAAAACACTTGTTTAAATATCTTCAATTGAGAAGTTTCATACTGTCCAGGCAATGTAATAGGCAGACACTTCATTGACTATCTACTCTTGAAGACTTTTCAATCAGATTCTCAGACTCCAAGGAGCGGCAGGTGTCTTTTCTTTATAATTTGTTTGTAAGTAAATCCAAAGAGTCATCACAAAACATATTGCGATCATGAAGATCGGATGTGCAAGAAAATCTAACAGAGGGAGAATGGGCTAGAGCTTGCTGAACAGCTCAAACTCAAACTGTGAATACAAATTCTAAATCATTACAATACAAATGGATAAGCAGACAGTTCCTTTTTTACCCAAATATCCCAGAGACTTGCATAAAATGCAAGCAACAAAAAGGTTATTTATTTCATTGTATACGGGAATGCCCCCTAATACTCTCTTTTTGGGAAAAAGTGAACCTGGTCAGTCGAATCATTAAAAAAGAGGTACCTCTCAAACCAAAGCTATGTTTACTGAACATTTACCCGCAGAACTTTGTGACCTCCAAAAATGAAAAATCCTTACCTAATTTTTGTTTTCTGGAAGCTAAAAGATGTATAGCCTGTTCATGGAAAAGGGATAAACCTTGTACTACTTTGCAATGGTTAACAGGAATGTCTTTCTACTTGGCTTTAGAAAAGATAAACTACACCACAAAAAAAAGCTTGACGAGTTTTGAAAAACCTGGATGGTTTTCTGTCATTTCCTTGAGAAAAATGATACTAAGGTAGATAGGGATGATGAGATAAACTAAAGATTTATCATTTCATTTTATCTTGTTTTAGTGTATATATAGTATAGTTAGCATATATATATATATATATATATATATATATATATATATATATATATATATATATATATGTATATATTTTGCATATATATATATATATATATATATATATATATATATATATATGGGCAAAAGCTCACAAAAATTGGACTTATGATGACTAGAAACAAGTTTGCACTGTTTGGTTCAAAATGCAGAGTCTATGTCCGCAGACAAACTGGTGAACGTCTGAAAGCACCATGTGTTACACCCACAATTCAGCATGGAGGTGGTAGTTCCATGGTATGGGGATGTTTTGCAGGTGATGGAGTAGGAGATTTGTTTGAAGTAAAGGGTATCATGAAGAAGGAACAGTACAACTCCATCCTCCAGCACCATGCTGTTCCATCTGGACTCAGACTTGTGGCTCATAAGTTTTTTTTGTAGCAAGACAGTGACCCTAAGCACTCTGCCAAGCTCTGTCAGGGTTACTTTGACAACAAAGAAGAGGAAGGTGTTCTTCAAAAGATGGTTTGGCCACCTCAGTCTCCAGACCTTTCTCCAATTGAGCTTGTGCAGGATAAATTGGATCGATCAGTCAAAAAAACACATCCCACGAATCAGCAGTCTATTTTTAATGAACTTAAGAAAGCTTGGAATGCAATCCCTGTAAAATACCTTAAAAAACTTGTGGAACGAATGCCTGGTATATGCCAAGCTGTTGCTAAAGCCAGAGGAGGTTACTTTAAAGAAAGCAAAGTCTAAGCAAGAATAACTCAAATGACTCATAATTACAGTCAAAATGTCTTCTGATAAGTTACTCTTTACACAATAGTCATGTTTTTTGTGTTGCAAGTTATACATATGAAACTATGATCTTTTTTTGTACAAATCTGATCTTGCTTCCAAACTTTTGGCCTGTAGTATATATATCTATATATCTATATATCTATAGATATATAGATGCATTTATTTATTTTTGCGACTTTCACCCAGGTCTGATCAGCCTGTGGTGGGCCAACCCCGGCAGAGGGTGTCTTATTAGAAAATGGCCGAAACGCCCATTGAAGCTGGGGCACACAACTGAAGATGAGTCGTATCGGGGGCACCATGATCTTTGAAAACTCCACCCCACCCAAGAGGATATCTACAACCCTATTCAATTGTTGTCCTGAATATGTAGGGATCTTAAACAACTAGCCCTAATAACAATCCTTGATGTCATTGTGGTATCTGGAGTAATGCACCAACATGCAAGGCCTTGAGGTATTTTTTAAGAAACAGCCTGAGGCGACCATTTTTAGAAACAGCCTGAGGTGACCAGTTGTGAAATGTGAGCTTGTGTTTTTCTTGTGTCTCTTTAATGGTTCCTGGAAGTTGCACGGTTGCAGGTCACAGGTCACAGGTCACAGGTCACAAATCACAACTCTAGGTTAAATAAAAAACCAGATGGTAACGAAAGATAGTTTGGGGACAAAGAAGGGATGTAGGAGGGCCTCCAGAGGATCACCGCAGCTTCAGCGCATCTATTCCTGCACCACATTGGCGCCAGGTGAGTGTTTGACTCACATAAAGTGCTGCTCGTTTAGTTGTTGGAGCTGTTGTGTTCAGCTGTTTGGCTGTACTGTGTAAAAGTATCTTCTGTGGTAAGGCTGTGATGTGCTGCTGAAGAGAGGCCTCGACTAAATTGGGGTAGAATTGAAAAGAAAAGAAGTTAGAGAAGAAAAAAAGAAGTTGTAATAGAAGAAAAAGAGATGCCAAAAGTAGAATTGCAGAGACTAGTAATGGGAGTGTGCTAAATAACCGTGCAAGATTACCGGAGACAGGGTCCATATCATCTTAACGGTTAGACATGTGTAAATTAGTGACT